AGTGAAAATCAGGGTGAGGAATACTTCCACGGAGTCCATTGCTTAATGAACCGAAACCGTCCACCAAGTCAGCATCATGGGCACACACTAGGTGAGGTCACTATGGTCTCAGGGTTTGAAGTTGGCCAGATGTGGATTCTGATTCTGCTTCTGCTGCTCGTCCTGCTGCAACCAAGTCAACTACTCTGTGGGAACATCCATTTTCCACCTGTGAAGTATGAATGATGGGAGCGCCTTCTCGTGGAACTTGCAGCAGAGTGCTTCTGCCTTTCCTAAGACAAAAAAATCCCCAAAGATGAAGAGTGTAACCCAAGTTCTTTTCAATACTTACAGGAGAGCTGTAAGTACTTGAGTTTTTCCTCTTGCAGAGTGCTCGAGTTGAAAAGGTTGCAAAACCAATTTCGGGGTATTTTTAAATCTTTTAAAGGTGCCACGCCGATCACCCTTTTTCTAATGGCTTGCTGCCAACACGGCTTTGAATACCTGTTAGAACAGTAGCTTCCCTTCTACTTTGAAACCCAAGAACCCGTGTTACAGGACTTCAGTGTTTTAGAAACATTCTCAACTGTCCCTAAGTGCTCACTGTGCGTGCCAGTTAATGACTCTGCGGTAAGAAGCCTCCCCCACACTCGGAAAAAGTCGCAGATCAGAAAGAGCTATTCATGAGTGCTTGGATACCAAGACGTTTGTTTCTGAATCAAGAATTTTAAGGAAAATCATAAGGTTTCTGAAATTATTTTTCAGTTAATATAAAGGGTCAGTCTTCAAACCTGGAAGCCAGATAAATTTTGATCCTAGACTGAGGCTAACATCCGCAAATTCTTCAAAAATCTTCAGACTTCTGCTACAGATCTTTTCACTACCTTTACTCCTTTTGTGTCACTTAAGTGTAGATAAATAAAAATGTTCTTTCTCCTTTTCATCTTCCAAGGCCAATAGTGAGCAGGAAACAGGGCTCATGCCTCAAAAAATAAACCGGAGGCTCATGGCTGGCCTTGCACACGCATGCACAGCTGCCCACACGCACTGCTGGACTACTCTCCATGGTCTCACCTCGAGAAGCTCAACTGTAGGAGGGAAAAGTGGTTTGAGAACCAGTGATCCAATTCTTGATGTTACAATGAAGTAGGTACATTATTTTTTCTTAATCATCAGAAGTACTCCTAGTTCCAGGGACACTTAGAAGTCACCAGAAAGCAAAAGTGGGAAGTGACTGAAACTGTAGCGAACACCAAGGTCAATTGAAATAGGTACCAAACACAGCCAAATTTGCGCTGTTACTGAGACGTTGCACACTGCGTTGAAAACACACCCTCCGGTCCAGGGACCCAACGTCCCTCCATAGCTACCACCTCCTTCCTCTTTATCCTCCACAACCAAGCTACTGAGTCTCCACTCCGCAGGCAGACTCTGCCGTCCCCACCCATCAACATCACCAGTGACTTATGTACGAATCGCTGAACTTTAGAAATGTGAAGGTTGTAAAAGTCAAGGGAAAACTGACAACCTGTGTCAGACGAAGACTAGGGACATCACAATCAAATGGGCTGCAAGCTTCTGCTCTAGTCACCGTTGGAACAACCGGCAGTTTGAACGGAGCCTCTGGGTGAAGAAATGCATGCGAGTTCTCTGTACCATTCTAGCAACAGCTAATCATTTATAAGGGTAAAATTAAAAACCAGAGCGGGAGCTATCAGAGGACTCGGGCAAAAAACACAAGTGGAACTTGACATCCCTTTCCGAGACGCGTGAGCTACCACCTACACAGCTCTAGGTGAGGTCTGACCTCAGTGGCAGCAGAAGCACTCTGTGTAGTGTTTTCCATACTCGGAAAGGTTGTAATAGTTACAATATCCAAATGTTGGAATTCAGGGTAAGTGGTTTATTTTCTGGCAGTTACAAAACAGAAGTGGCCTACATCACTTCCAACCTAAAGTTAGTGATCCAGCAGAACAATTTAAAATCCTCAAAAGCCAGAGTGAAATAAGATGTGTTTCACCTTGTTCAGAAAGAGCAGGTCACTGCTAACCTAGGACTAAAACGGCTGCAAAGCATGTCTGGGAAGGCTGAAACTCTTAACTTTTATCTAAAGCAGTTGGGCAGCGGGGGGAGTCAAGAGTCTCTTTATGCAGACGGACATTAAGTCTTGGGTGAACTGTTGTACAGTAAATATATAAACTTTTAAATGCTTCATGCTTTTAAAATGCCTTTTCTAGACCCATTACACCGGTGGGCTATACTATAAAATTGTAAAGTCGGTGCGTTGGAGTACTTTTTTTTACTGGATTTTTGAGTCGTTTCCCAGTTCAGTGGGTGGGGCAAAATAAAACTTGTAAGTGGTGCTCCACTGATCTTTCTAATCCTGCGTAAGTTCCCCTGAACAGGTATTTAAGCAGTAAGCCCTGGCTGGTGTGGCTCAGTGGGCTGAGTGACAGCCTACAAACGGAAAGGATGCTGATTCAATTCACCATCAGGGTACAAGCCTGGGTTGCAGGCCAGGTCCCCAGTTGGGGGCTTTCAGAGGCAACCAATCCATGTGTCTCCCGCACATCAATGTTTCCCTCTTTTTCCCTCCCTTCTCCTCTAAAACCTTTAAAAAAATGAAATTCAAACAGTAAGAGATCTCAATATATAACTAAGCAAAAGCACTAATCAAGAAAGGGAAAACAGACACTTTATAAATGTGAATGGAGAAATACACAGAGAAGTCCATTATACAATTAAGTACAACACCAAGGAGTAGTCACGCTGCAAATCATTCGCAGGGGGAAAAAGCAGGCTGTGTACACCCTTAGTATTTGCATTTTCCATGTGGATGGGGTGGGCCATCCAGCACCAGAGATGCTCAGAAGACTCCACACGCTGAGGCTAAGTCCACTCCCAAAGCGCTCGCACAGAAAGGCATCCTATTGTGAATGAAGCCCCTTCGACAGGTAACTCTGCCGTTCATCTTCAGGTTTGTGAAACTGGGATGACACAGAGAGCACATTTCTTATCTTTTATTTCGACATTTAAAAGATTCACAGGTGGAGTATTGTAGTCATCGACGTCTCCATGGAAGACGTACCAAACAAAGCATACAGGTATCCACAATTACAGAATTACGTATTTGTGACTGTGTAAGTGTCTAACCCCTAGAATTATCTGGAAAACCGCCACTTAAAAAAAAACACACACACACCCCCCAAAAAACTTTTGAGTATTTCACTGAATTAATTTCCATAAAAAGTGAATAGCAAGGAATAGCAGGAGAAATATTAGCCAGCACTTCAATGTCAAGCTTGTAGTATTCGGCTAACATACCCATGTCAGGAACATTTAATTCTTGGTTATTTTTCTTTTCCTCTCAATAGCCAAGGCCAAGATGTACCTACTTTTAATTTTCAGTCTTTTTTCCAAAAGCATTATGTGGAATAGGCTGACCATCACAGAATCTTGACTAGCTAATGAGGTAGGAACAGTCTTCACAAGTTCTTCAGCATTTATGAAGCAAAACAAAACAGAATAATCAAATTATATACAGTATTTGTTCAGAGGTTGGTTGTTCTTTTACTAAAATGCCAAGAACATTGGGAATTGGTCAAATGCTGCTTGTACTTTAAAAGACAAAGAGTAAAACCCCACGAGAAAGGCCCCGCGGCCTTGAACAGGCAAGGGCTGGCACTACCTCAGTCCGCTCTGGCAGGCCATGCAAGGAGGTGGCTGCCCCAGAGTGCCGAGCTTTCTGCCTGGAGAAATCTCACCAAGAAGGGAAAGTTAAAACAGGGGGGGAAGTACTCTTTTCTTTTGGTACAAGCTAATTTGGCTATTATTTTAACCCAATTTTCACCCTTCCCTACACACAAAAAAAGATTAATAACTTCTATATATTGCATATCCAGTAACATTATTTAAATGAATTTCGTAGTCAATGCACCAAATTCTGCCAGAAAAACATTCCTTATAGGAAGGGTTTAAGCTCAACAGCTAGAAAATGCCTAGGGAATAAAAGACTTAAGTACCATCTCTTTATTAGCAGATTGTTTCAAAATGCATACACCCCCTTAAATTCATATAAACCTAGGAAATTCAACCATTACTCCCTCTCTATCTACAGCAAAATCAATGTTCTGTGTTCTAACTACCCTTTTTGTATATATATAGGGAATACTTTACAATCTACCCAATTAAGCCAATAGGACACACGCTTCCAAAAATGGGGAAAGTTATCAATAAAAAAGTTATTTACACACTTTAATACCTATTATTTGATGAAGGTCAAAATACCAGAAGAGAATTTATTACCCCAATTACACAACAATTATGGTCACTGCTAAAAACACTTTTTTAAAAAACCCAAAAATGCAAAAAAATATTCAAAATAGAATAGCTGCCAGATCACTGGTAACTACACAGGGCCTGGCAGACGGTTTTGAAATCAAATCTTTGATAATTCTATAAAATGTTCTAGACACAGCAAACTTGGTATAATAGTACAACTCTCTGATACAGCAGTAACCACTTTAAATTTTATTTTAGCTTCCAAAAATAACTTGTCAACAAGGAATTTTTAATGTCTAGTCTAAACTTTTCTTTTTATTATTCTATCTAGGATTGTGTCCTATTGGAGTGATCAAAATATCATTTAGCTTGAAGAGGACTGCGTCGCCTTCACTGCCTTCTTTAACTGCAGTGACAGTCCCCTCACACCCTTTCCTAAGGCCACACCATGCCCCGTTTATTGCTGCCAAGCCCCTGAAATCTATGCTTCTATCTGTGTCTGCTTTGTCATCACGGTTCATTGAAAACTGTATCAGACCACCTGCTAAAACTTGGTAACATTTAAGTCCAGTAGATTAACTGCAAAAGCACTAAGGCTACTGTAGCGTAGGCCGAAAACCACAAGTATATACTTTCCCCTAAAAACTGATCACATTACCTACTATTAACAGTAAAAGCTCAGTGGTATCTCAGCTATATATAGTCCATACTCAATGTTGTAAAATAAAATGTTAGGCCAGTAAGCTTTCACAATCTTTATTAAATCCTAGTCTAATTTAACAATTTCTGGTTCTATAGACATCATCCTATGGTGAACATGTTCAGTAAGTGAAAATAAATCAGACACCTAAGAAGCCATCATCCTCTGCAGACTAAAGAGTAAGATAACTATCACACAGAACAATACAGGTAATGACACACACTTGCTCAGAGTTTTCATACAAGCCATGGTGTTTATCAAACTATATCTCCTAATATTTAATACAGTAGAATTAGTGATTGTAGTTTCCATATAGCATTTTAATTACAAGTACCTTATTGAGATAGATAACTAACATTTCGAGTTTCACTGACTTTCCAGATTAGCATAATATATTCAAGAACAAAAAAGGTGAAAATTGAACACAAGTTATTCAAAGAAAATGAAGATAAAAAAGGACAGTGAAGAGTCAATGGACATTTGTGTAGAAGAAAACACAGCAACTGTGGATTCACAAATCAAAAGTTTATAAATTCAATACAATACAAATCCTTTTGAATGTAAAAGGTTGAAATTCAAAGGTCTATAACCTTTTGGCCTTAATTAAACTGTACCAATTCTTCTGATCAAAGAAGGGCACAACAGTTAAGACTGTATTCCTTGATTTTATTTTACACTAGTTGTGGGCACAAAGCCATCCTCCTCAATGAAGTTGACAAGGAGCTTCATTCAGATCGTTTTTAATAATGCACATTAAAAAAACATATTCTTACAAATTGTTTTGCAATCCAAATATACAACAGCTTGGGCGGGGGGACGTTTAGAAAACAAAAGCCAATGTAAAAAGACAGATTAAAACAACTAGACCAGTTACAAGTTTTCTATGGCTCTGATTTTACAGTTTTCTTACTGCATCATCAATGTCAGAAATCTGTTCCTTCAGCTGGCTCCACTGCTCAGGATTTAAAGAAATACCTAAAATAAAGTTTCAAAAACAAAACACTGAGAATCGATTTAAGCTTTCTTGAGGATTTTTATACTTTCAACTAAAATTCTGTTCTATCAAAATGACCGTTTCTGAATGGTACAATGGTATAGTATTGATATAAAATACTCAAGTTGTTAATTAGAGTCATCACGATCACCCGAGGTCAAGTTTATGTCCAGTTTCACTACCAGACACAGCATCCTAGCTGACACTGGTACATTCTCCCCCAGTGAGAACAATGATCTCCGGCCGCGTCTCACAAACGGGTGCAAATGAGCAGCCAGTGGCCAGGCCTGGATTCGATGTGTGACGCCTACGTGCTACATCCGCTTGGTCCCAGCTTTTGCTCGATTTCCACAGGAACTCAAGGTGCATGCCTTCTGTCCTGGGCTCTTCCAGGAGCATATGCATCTCCCTTTGGGAAATCCCTGGGATCCCATCCACACAGGGCTTCTTGGAACACACATTCGGAAATCATGCCATCACAGGGTTCGAATCCCAGCCTCACTAGCACTAACTTTAAGACCTTAAAACAATTACATTACCTCTGAGCTTCAGTTTCCTCACCATTTAAATGGTTCTTATACATCCAAGGGTTGTTGTGAATGATTAAATTAGCTAACCTGAATTAAAAGCTTAGCAGATCACTGGGCACAAGTAAACACTTAAAAGGTTAGCTTAATGACACTGTCCTATGTAAGTCACAAAACTATGACTGGAAAGAACTTTGTACTTTAAATTTTCAATATTCTTTTTTTTTTAATCTTTTTTAAAAGATTTTATTTATTTATTATTTATCTTTAGAGGGGAAGGAGAGAGGGAGAGAAACATTAATGTATGGTTGCCTTTCGTGCGTCCCCTCCTGGGAATTGGCATGCAGGGAACTGGCCTGCAACCCAGGCCTGTGCCCTAACTGGGAATTGAACCGCGATCCTCTGGTCCGCAGGCCTGTGCTCAGTCCACTGAGCTACACCAGCCAGGGCTACACTTTCAATATTGTAATGCCTGACCCAACAAACCAACAAACTAAACTGAAGAATTAACACATCTCAGAAAACTGCTGGGAGGCCCCGAAACTGAGAGGACGGGAATGCACTGGGTCAGCCCCTAGGAAGGGCTGTAAGGAACTCATCCCACTGCTGCAGTGCACCTGTGCAGGAACGGGAAAGAAATCTGGCATCAGCCACCGTGAACAACTGGGGTGGCCGCTCCAGAAGGAGGCTGAACAAGAAAGTACAGATTATAAAAACACAGAGGGTTAAGTTTAACAAACCTAAAAAATACATGAAGCAAACTGCCTTTCAAAACTGCATGCAGGCAGAGTAGAAGAAAATAAGGAGGTAATTTTTCATCAGCTAAGGATTAACCTAAACCAGTTAACTACTCAGTATATAAAATTTATGTTGGTGCACAATGCTCTCTAGCTACTGGGTGAATTAATCAAGTTTGCTTCTGTGGTGCTAGATGAAGCGAAAAGACATAAACCCATTTAAATAATACCACCCTAAAGACTATCCAAAAGGAAACTGTGTGAACCAGGATTTTCCATTCCTGATTTGACAACTTCCCAGATAGTGCCCACTCTACTTCAGAATTAATGTTTTAAAAATTTTTTAAGTTACATTCAAGTAAATTAGCAGCCAACTGAAGTGATATTAAGGGACCAATTGTCGTACCCAACAGACTACAGAAGATAATGCATCAACCAGACGAGGATCTCTCCCCAGTACACTGCAAACATCATTTCCATTTCCACCGAGATGGGTCACTTAGATCATTTCTGACTCAGTCCAGTATCAGGACCAAATTCAAGAAATTAAGTCTCACCTTTTCTTCCTGGTTTCATTTCACCTTCTGGATCCATCCAATATTCTCTAATATCAATAAGGACTTTTCCTTTGAAGTCCCGAACACTGACGTACCTCATTTTTCCAATCTGCAAAGAAACAAAACGTAAGAAGGTATTCGCTTCTACGGTCCATATTTATATTCTAACTTACTGCACACTCACTCTTTTTAATCACAAAAACAACTACTACTCTCAGTATCAAACGATAACCAAAGGAAGTATCGCTATTAAAAAGAAATCTTTCTACAAAGATGGAACTAAACAAGTACAGTTCACATTTCCGATCATTTCGTATTAGAAGAATCATTAGTAAAACAGTGCAACTGCTACGGAACATAGCACGGAGGGTCCTCAAAAAGCAGAGCGTATGACCCAACAGCGATCGGAGGCCCCGCCCCACTTCTGGGCATGTGTCTGGAAGAATTAAAGCAGGAGCTTAAGATAATTATTTGCACACCCATAACTCAGATAAGAGTTACTCACAATAACCAAAACATGGGGCAAGCAAAATGCCCATCTTGGAATAAGTGAATAAACAAAATGTAATATATACATATAGTGGAATATTATTCAGCCTTAAAAAAGGACTTTCTGGCATAGGCTACAACATGGATGAGCCTGAGGCCATTATGCTAAGTGAAACAAGGCAGTCACAGAAAGACACATACTGTATGACTCCACTCACACGAAGCCTAGAGCAGTCAGACTCAGAGACAAAATACAGAATGGGGACAGGGGGCGGGGGATGAGGGGTGGGGCTGGGGAAGGGACAGAAAGCTGAGTTATGTTTACCTGTGTAACAGTTCTGCAAGATGAAAAAGTTCTGGAAATTTGTTTCGCAATAGTGTGAACATATGATCAAGGCAGTAAATTTTTATGTTGCATTTTTTTACCAAAAAAAAAATCATTAGAAACCAAACTCTTGCAGTATAAACTACCATCAAGGAAACCACAGACCTTTGCTTTAGCAACCATTCTGAATGTAAGACTCCAGGGACCATAATAACATGAGAAGGCTTTCCCCTTAGACATTCACTTCAAATTAACATCTTTTAATACACTTCACTCACAGTCTGAGAACTTAATCCTACTACCTACAGGAAACGTTTTTTCAAACTTTCTTAAACACAAACTACAAAGTCCAAAGGAATGGAAAACGCTTTACTCCACAAAGTACAGTGAACACGCTCCACGCAGTCCTTCACTAGTGTAACGTGCTGTCTAGCACTTCGGCTACAAAATCACACTTTCTGATGAACACCTCAATACCTCTACCTCTTACTCATTCTAAACCTACTCTTCTTCACTCCTACTGACTTAAACTAGCTGTGGCTATTGTGCTTAAAACACACCGGCATGTGACAGTTCTGTGTCTGGCTGGATCCAGTCATTAAATCCTCCCCTTTATCAGGCTGCCACAGGAGTTAGAGCTGCGCAGTGACACAAGCACACGTTCATGACCTCCACCTTGCCCTCGTCCCCTTAGATGCTTTTGTCTCAGTTTGGTCTCATTCATTTTCCTTTAGCTTCCCATCTCAAGTAAGTTTCTTGTCCTGCTGGTGTGTCCCCTACTTCCAGGATATGCCCCGTGCTTCATGGAGAAAATAAAGTCCACTAGGTACGAGGCACAGATAAGTGCCTTCAAATCTTTTTTCTATTTACCCACATCATTATCAATTCTTAAATTCTTTACCTTCCATAACCCATTTCTTGTGTGTGCATTCTTTCCCTTTCCGATGGCTCTTATCCACCACTTCCAAACATGCCTCTCCTCTCTTTATAAAGCACTTTATAACTTTCCCCATGCTTCCTTTTTCCCTTTAGGGCTAAATTCTGAAAGAAGCAAACTTCTGTTTCCACCAATTAAATTCCCACAGCCTACTCTAAAGTCACCTGTGATTTTATTGTCAGTTTTATAACTTTTTAGAAGATTTTATTTATTTATTTCTAGAGAGGAGAAGAGAAGGAAAAAGAGAGGGAGAAAACCATCAGTGTGTGGTTACCCCTCATGTGCTCCCTACGAGGGACCTGGCCCAGGACCCAGGCATGTGCCCTGGACTCAGAATCAAACCGGCAGTGACTTTTAGGTTCGCAGGCCAGCACTCCATCCACTGAACCACACCCACCAGGACTACTGTTAGTTGTACCAGCTCATTTTTCACTCAGTCTTCTTTGTGTCCCCTTAAGCCTATCATACTGGGTTCCCAGTAAATGAATTAAGTTCAAAATAACTGTCACAGTGAAACTGTCGATAGTGACTTATAATATTGATTTAATATTTTTTTTAATTTAAGTTATCTTAAACAGCTATAGCACTGCACTGCACATTTTCATTTTGGTTTTTACAATAAGCGCAAAAGCCTGTTGAGCAGATAAAATATATTAAAAACCTACTAAAATAATATTGACTATATAAGTCAAGTTTAACGTGGGCTTGAGGAAATGAAAGAAACTTTAGGTGGTGAAATTTGACCTTGAAAAACGACTAAGCATTAGTTAAGTAAAAGGGAGAGCACGGTGACAAAGACGCAGAACAGAGAAGCAGGAAGACACGGCACTGACGTTCAAAGACAGGCCCAAGGGACTGAGCTTTCCCGAAGAGGACTTGGAGTACGGGAAGAGAATTCGGGAACCTTTGTAGGTTCCTGAGCAAGAACAAAAAAACAAAACAAACAAACAGAAAAACCAAGCACACGACTACCGCTGCTGCTGCTTGTCTTCTGCAAGATTCGTACTCCTGAGAAATCTGAAAACAGGATTAAATCTTTAAAACTCTCACTAGAAAAAGTTCAAAAATCAAGACTAAAGGGAAACCTATTTTAAAGAGACAAGCACACTGTAAGTGTATTAATGCACATTTTACCAATCTTCAATTAGAAACAGCAAGTACTCGATTTATGTAAAGTGCACAATGCAACACACTAAACACAAGAAAATCAGCTACTTTAATCTCTGCCCTTGCTCTCTAGAAACGTCTCAAAAGTGCCCTCATCCACAATGTCAATGAAGTGTGTTTAAACATTTCTGTCTACTGCAGGTTAACACAGTATGAGGCATTTTCTTTCTCCCAAACATGGCTGACCATCTATGTATTCAAAACTTTGTGGTCCCTAATCACTTTCAAATGACTTGTGTCTGATACATAGTAAACAAGGAACTACTCAAAGTAGAGAAAAGGTATAGGTTGGTAAAATTTTACCTACACTAAAATTTGCTAACATTTCACAGACTAGCTGTGGGTTCAGAAGGAAAAATCTCGACACACAAACTGCTGCTCCATCAAAATCTGAGTCACTTATAAACTAAAACTTACTGTGCACTTTGCACACTGTCCCTCAATATATCAGTGTTCACTTTAACATAAAAAGCTTTCATGCAGTAGATTGAGTGCAGGCTGCAGACCAAAGGTTTGCCATTTGAGATTCCCAGTCAGGGCACAGGCCTGGGTTACCGGCCAGGTCCCTGGTAGGGGGCGCGTGAGAGGCAACCACACATTGATGTTTCTCTTCCTGTCTTTCTCCTTCCCTTCCTCTCTCTCTAAAAACAAAGAAATACCTGGCTGGTATAGCTCAGTGGATTGAGCAAGGGCCTGCGAACCAAAAGATTGCAGTTCAATTCCCCGTCAGGGCACATGCCTGGGTTGCAAGCCAGTTCCCAGCAGGGGCCAGTTCCCAGCAGGGGATGCACCAGAAGCAACCATACATTGATATTTCTCTCCTTCTCTCCTTCCCTCCACTTCTAAAGATAAATAAATAAAATTTAAAAAAATAAATAAATAAAAATAAAAACAAAGAAATAAATAAATCTTAAAAAAAGTTTTCCTGCAAATCTCCAAATGAAGATGGGCCTGTGGAAAGATGCACAGTGTCTACCCCACGACTCTCACGCTCCCACACCAGAGACAGAGCCCCAGCAAGGCGTGGGCTCCCTCCAGAGTGCAGGGAGCAGTGGTGCCGAGGAAGGACCCAGGAGGGCTGGCCCTGAGACCGGGGACAAGGCACGGATGCCCGTTCTCACCACGTCTCTTCGATACTGTACTGGAAATAATAACAACCAAGCAAGAGGAACAATGAAAAGGACGATATAAAACTCAACAGACATAATCATTATCAACAGAGAAAATTCTAAGAAGTCTCAAAAAAATGCATGTGTAACATGTAATATAAAGTAAATATGTAAATAACATGTATTTTTACATGGTACGTAATAGGCACATTTTTCTAGCAATAAACTGGAAAATGAAATTAACATTTACGATACAATCAAAAAATACAAAATACTTAAAAATGAAGTTAACAAAAGATGTGCAAAACTCTAGAGTGAAAAATCACAAAACAAAGAAATTCAAAAGGATCTGAATAAATGGAGAGAGTGTACATATTTAAGCAGAAGACTTGATGCTGTCAAGCTGCCTGTCCTCCCCAAATCAATCTTCAGCTTTACCCAATCCCAATCAAAATCCCAGTAAGCTATTTGGTAAAAACTGACAAGCTGACTCTAAAATGTATATAGAAATACAAAATACAGAGAACAGCAAAAAGATTCTAAAGGTGAAGAATAATGTTAAAGAACGTATCCTACCTGATTTCAAAAGTCACTATAAATGCACGGTAATTATGACAGTGTAGTACTGAAGACAGACATAAATTAATGGAATAGACTTCAGAAACACTTTGTTACATATTCACTGATTCTCATTACAAAGATCCAAGATAATGCAATGGAAAGCGAACGTCTTTTCAACAAGTGGTACCGGAACAATTGGCTATCTGTGTGCAGGAGAGAAAAATGAGTACCCACCTGGTCTCAGACCAGACCCAGAGAAACTACTTCTACATGAAGCTAAACACACAAAAGTCAGATCTACAAAAATTCTAGGAGAAAAACACTGGCAAAATTTTTGTGGCCTTGGGGTGAAAAAATATATCTTCATAGGAAAGGAAGTATTAACCAAAGGGGGAAAATTATTAAAAACTGACTTAATCAAAATTAAAGCTTTTTAAAGATATTTAAAATAAAATGGCAAACCACTAAACCAGAGAAAATATTCACTTTACTTATGTCTGTCTGACAAAGGACTTGTATCT